ACATTTGAATCTCAAAAACCAAAATTTCCTCCCAAAATTTTACAAAGTTAAAAACAATCTTTTCCTAAAATATAAGTAAATATTTTAACACCAAAAATGTAGAAAGGACAAAATGTCAGACTAAAGGGCAGTCCTTTTCACTGAACATGCTTAGACTTGTGGAAAGTTCATTTCATGTTTCCTACAAGAGCTCTGTCATAGTTTACCACTGGTTTAAAGAGTCATGTCAGGGATCATTGACTTAAAGGAAAATAAGATCAGACACTACTTGTGAATTCAACCTTACAAAAATAAAAAAAGCATCTTGTTCTGTCACTCAGGCTGGAGTGCAGTGGTGCAATCATAGTTTACTGAAGCCTCAAACTCCTGGGCTCAAGTGATCCTCCCACCTTGGTCTCCTGAGTAGCTAGGACTATAGGTGCTAGACACCACACTCAGCTAATTTTTAAATATTTTGTAGAGACAGGGTCTTGCTATGTTGCCCAGGCTGGTCTCAAACTCCTGGCCTCAAGTGATCACTTCTAGGAAGGGCATAGAGCAGGGGCCTATGCCTCCCAAAGTACTGGTATTATAAGCATGAGCCACCATGCCCAGCCACAAAATGGCTTATTTTTTAAAATAAAGAAAATAAAGTATATTGTATGTGTGTGGATTTACCAAACCAGAATCTTGGAGGAACTCTGCCTATTGTACTAAAAGAGGTATTGTGTTCCATTGCAGAAGTTAAAAAACAACTCAGGAAGTCCAGCAGAGCTGAGAGTCAGAAGACACAGGTCATTCCTAGTTACTAAGAAAGGTATTAAATGGGAGTTTAACATTTTGTTTTGTTCCCACAACAATTAAAAAAAAAAGGTTTAATGCAATCTATTACCACCATTTCATTTAGTTGAAAATCTCAAAACTTGTTAAGCAGGTATATTTATATAAACATACTAAAATCCACAGTACTATCACACACACACACACACACACACACACACACACACACACACGCAGAAATTGACTTATTTTATGGTTATTTTCTATCCTTACTTTTGCCACTCTGCAAGAGTACATTCTGTTCTTTTCACTTTTTCTTTTTTTTTTTTGAGACGGAGTTTCGCTCTGTCGACAAGGCTGGAGTGCAGTGGCCTTATCTCAGCTCACTGCAACCTCTGCCTCCAGGGTTCTTGCAATTCTACCGCCTCAGCCTCCAAAGTAGCTGGGACTACAGGTGCATGTCGCCATGCCCAGCTCATTTTTTGTATTTTGGTAGAGATGTGGTTTTACCATGTTGCCCAGGCTGGTCTCAGCCTCCTGAGTTCAGACAATCTACCTGCCTCCGCCTCTTGAAGTGCTGGGATTACAGGCGTGAGCCACTGTGCTGGCCTTTCATTTTTTCTTTAAGTATACCTTCTCTAAGTTTCTGTTTGCTATTTAAAAAAAAAAAAAAAAAGGCTCACCTCTAAAATGGAATGAAGTTATCTGAAAGTACCTTCTTTTTATCTACTTTTTTTCTTTTTTTTTTTTTTTTGGCTAGGGCACAATGGCATAGCCCTGTAATCCCAGCACTTTGGGAGGCCTAAGAGGGCAGATCACCTGAGGTCAGGAGTTCGAAACCAGCCTGGCCAACATGGCAAAACCCTGTCTCTACTAAAAATACACGAATTAGCCCAGTGCGGTGGTGGGTGCCTATAATCCCAGCTACTTGGGAGGCTGACACAGGAGACTCGCCTGAGCCCAGGAGGTGGAGGTTGCAGTGAGCTAAGATTGCACCATTCCACTCCAGCTGGGCAACAGAGCAAGACTCAGTCTCAAAAAAATAAAAAGAAGAAAGTATCTCCTTTTCATCTCCCCGTCCCCCGTTTTTTTTTTTTTTTTTTTGGCTAAAATAAAGTTTGCTCCTAGCCAGGCACAGTAGCTCACGCCTGTAATCCCAGCACTTTGAGGGGCCAAGACAGATGGATCACCTGAGATCAGGAGTTCAAGATCAGCCTGGTCAACAGGATGAAAGCCCATCTCTATTAAAAATACAAAAAATTAGCTGGCTGTGGTGGCAGACACCTGTAATCCCAGCTACTCAGGAGGGTGAGGCAGGAGAATTGCTTGAACGCAGGAGGCAGAGGTTGCAGTGAGCTAAGATTGTGCCACTGCACTCCCACCTGAGCAACCGAGCAAAAAAAAAAAAAAGCTCCTAAGAAAAATCTTGACCTTTTAGCTTAACCTAAAAACTTTCCACTGAAACTGAATTCAAGAACTCACATAGGTTTAATTTAAGAAATAGGGAGTGATGTCAAACTTTCTTAACAAGCTGGGGAACATGGAGGAGAAGTGAAAGGACAATTAACTGTCATGTCAGTAACACTGAATTGCTGCAAAATAGATGGTCCTGAATGATCTGCACAAACACAAAAGCTTGAGAGCTTGAGACATCTCAGACACAATTTAGCTACTGATACCCCAAAGCTAGCTGATTCCATAAAACAATCACTCATTTCTAGGGTTCCCTACTGACAGGAAAGAACAATGTTATAACATTTATCAATCCTTCAGCTTCTACATGCCTAAACATTTGTAAAGGATTTGTTTAAGCCTACAGAAGCAATAATGGATATGTTGAAAGAATCCTCTATATAATAAGTCCTCAATACATCTCAAAAAATTTTTCAATAAAACCAGACCTAGAGCCACTGGTTTTGTTCTCAGAATCACAACCCTCAACTCCCACCTTCCCAAAAAAAATTAATAGAAATTTTTTAAAGGAATTTTCATTTGGAAGGATACATCAAAAGCAAGCCAATGAATCAACTAAAACACAATCCAGTTAAACCAACTCTTAACTGAGAAAATTTTGACAGAATAAATATGGTATGTGTCCAAAGAACTAACTGGATTGCATAAACAGAGTACAGTTCATTCTATCAGATTTTATCTAGCCCCTATCAAACCAAGCAACTGAAAAGTGAAAAATATCAAATAGCTAATGCATGTAGGGCTTAAAACCTAGATGACAGGTTGATAGGTGCAGCAAATCACCATGGCACACATATATGTACGGAACAAACCTGCACATTCTGTGCATATGTCCCAGAACTTAAAGTAAAATTAAATTTTAAAATCTGAAAAATAAGGCCGGGTGCAGAGGCTCACACCTGTAATCCCAGCACCTTGGGAGGCCGAGGCGGGTGGATCACGAAGGTCAGGAGTTCAAGACCAGCCTGGCTGAGATGGTGCAACTCTGTCTCTACCAAAAATACAAAAATAAGCTGGGCATAGTGGTGGGTGCCTGTAATCCCAGCCACTCGGGAGGCCGAGGCAGACAATTGCTTGAACCTGGGAAGCAGAGGTTGCAGTGAGCTGAGATCTCACCACTGCACTCCAGCCTGGGCAACAGAGCAAGACTCTGTCTCTAAAGAAAAAGATAGGTAGGTAGGTAGATAGATAGATAGATAGATAGATACATAGATAGATAGATAGATAAAAAGTCAAAAATAATTCAATCATTTAACTTGGAATTCTGATTAAACTGACAGTGATGAATAAACATCGCTGCCTTTGTAATACAGGAACAAACAACTACCAAAAATGTTAGTGCTGCTGTTGTTTGAGACAAGTCAAACAGTAGATGGATAGCAAACAACTTGAACTAGAGAACTCTATTTTGAAGTTGAGAAAGTGCTTTTAAGCAACAACAAAAAAGAGGTATATTTATTTCCCCTATTCTATCTTAAACATTTCTTACATGTATCTTATTTTTTAAAAACTACCAAACACTCTCTCTTACAATTGACATGCGGCTGGACACAGTGACTCACACCTGTAATCCCAGAACTTTGGGATGCTGAGGCAGGTGGATCGCTTGAGCCCAGGAGTTTGAGACCAGCCTGAGCAACGTGCCGGAAACCCATCTCTACAAAAACATAAAACTTAGCCAGTCATGGTGGCACATTCCTGTGGTCTCAGCTACTTCAGAGACTGAGGAGGGAGGATCACTTGAGCCTGGGAAGTCGAGGCTGTAGTGAGCCATGATCGTGTCACCACACTCCAGCCTGGGCTATAGAGTGAGATCTTGTCACCAAAAAAAAAAAAAAAAAAAAATTGACATGTTAAATTCATTGATTTCCTGCAAACTATTTCAGAGAACGTTACCTCATCACTCAGCACCCCCTCCCCTATATATAGTCATAGAACATTTAGAAATTATAGCTATAGAAGGCCTTGCTACTAAAACTAGTATTTTTGCTTTTCTTCAAAAAAAATTGAGCCAGCTTACAGAAGTGAGAGAAAAAAAAGAAAAGGAAAAAAAGAAAAAAAAATTGAGCCAGCTTTTTTTTTTTTTTTTTCACTTGGGCAGTGAGAAAACTTACAACTACATCTGAAACTCAAATTTTATATTCAATTTACTCATCTAATGTTATACTCCTGGTTTTATTTTATCTGGCACTCTGTAAGTTGCAGTGTTTATGTTTTATTCTTACGTACTCTACCTTGTGACACGGAGTCAGCTTATAAAAAATACCTACAAGAAACAGTGATTTCTCTGGCACTTATAAATCTGAAATAGCTAAATTTAGAAACTAAATAACCACAGTTCATTAGCATTACAAATGAGCAGAAATTGTTATTCAGGATTCATATAAAAGTATACCTCCATACTTCACCCTTAACACATTTTTATCCTCTCAGAGTTCGATTTTTAAAATGCAAAACCCACTCGGGAGCCAAATTAAAATATACACTTGACTCTTTTTAATTAAACTGATAGTTAAAAGCTTCCAGAATTCTAAGGTGCAGAAAAGATGCCAATGGGTCCAAGTTTAAAAGGAAAAAAAGCAAAAGCCTTTTTAAGAGAAGAGAAAGAAAGAAAAAGAGCCAATGTATCAATGTTTAGAAGAAAAAGTTCTCTTTTTAAGTAAAAGGAAAAAAATTACTTGCCATTGGTAAGGTTATCCTTTTTATTCTACAATTTTAGTCCATGAATCTCTCATCATTTTTATGGCTATCAAATAACAAATACTTACTTGGAGCACTCATCCACAAACCCTTTTCTTTCCCCTGTCCCCAGAGAGAAGCAGCGCTCTACCCTGAGCTGGTGGCATGGAAGCACATCAGATGATGAGGTGGCAGTGCAGGACAGCCTCCACACCAAGGTCTTCCTTAGGTGGTGGCCTAACATCACCTTCCCTCACCAGGATACCCAGGGGATAAAACCAATCTTCTACCTTCCCCAAACTGCACTTTCTGTAAATCAGTTCGAGTGTGCCAACTCATCAGAACAGACTAAATTGAGATTAGTAAATCACAGGTGCACAGTATCATGTTACTCAATTATCTTGGCATCAAATTGAAACAATGACCTAACTCTGAGTTCTTTACTCACTGCAGTCAAGTAAGTCTCTCTTCTGCCCTTTGGTCAGGGCTGGACACTATTTTATTCAAATACCAGTTTGTCTGTTTGTTTTCAAAAGAACTCTTCTGGAGGGTTCTAAGCCCAACTTGAAATTTAAGCTAAAACTACTCTCAAAACCATCCCAAAGGCCAATTTAGCTGTCATATAGTGGTCTTTGCTCATAAAAATTCCCAACTACTTTGGGAGGCTGAGGCAGGAGAATTGCTCAATCCTGGGAAGTGGAGGTTGCAGTGGGCTGAGATGGAGCCAGTGCACTCCAGCCTGGGCAACAGAATGAGACCCCGTCTCAAAAAAAAAATTCCCAACTACCCTTCTTTCCAAGATTATTTAAAAGTGTGTTTCTAATATCCATTGGCATAGAGTTCTCTTTTATTGTTTTTATATTTTTCATAAAAGTAGTATGCATTTGGCCGGGCGCGGTGGCTCACGCCTGTAATCCCAGCACTTTGTGAGGCCGAGGCGGGTGGATCATGAGGTCAAGAGATCGAGGCCATCCTGGTCAACATGGTGAAACCCCGTCTCTACTAAAAAAAATACAAAAAAAATTAGCTGGGCGTGGTGGTGCGTGCCTGTAATCCCAGCTACTCAGGAGGCTGAGGCAGGAGAATTGCCTGAACCCAGGAGGCGGAGGTTGCGGTGAGCCAAGATCGCGCCATTGCACTCCAGCCTGGGTAACATGAGTGAAACTCCGTCTCAAAAAAAAAAAAAAAAAAAGTAGTATGCATTCAATGGAAAAAAAAGATAAACAAAAAACGGTTTATCCTGAAAATCCACCATCCAGAGATAGTTATTGATGACATATTGGTATGTATAAATTTACTATATTTTTTCCAAATACATGTTTAAAACAAAAATAGGCTCATATTGGACACACTGGTTTGCATCCTGCTTTTTTCATTTCATAAAATATCTATAAAATTTCCTTAATCAATATTATGCTACAGTTATCTTTAAATAAAAGGCAACAGCTTCATTCAATTAATACATCCTAAATACTTTCAGACAATTCAGAATTCTGCTGTATTCCACTATTTCACAGCCATGACTCACTTATATCTTATATTGGTTAATGATTGTGAATAAATAACTACAACCCATAACCTCCAATGTGAAGCCAAGTTACCAAGTCCACGGTGTATCTCCCCTTCAATCCATCACATATAATTCAAAATTAAAATAATGACAAAAAAAAAACAAGTATCAGAGTCACAAAAAGGTATGATATTTTCACCATGAATTCCACTTCATTGTTTTTACAAAAATTATAAAACATTAAATTTTTTTTTAATCTCTTTTGGTGACCTTTTCTAGTGCTCAAACGTTTTTTGATTGCATATTAAGCATTGTTCCCAGGGGTTGAGAAAGGAATAGATTTTTTTTGTTCTAAGAAGTAGCATAAGAGTTTTAAATTCAGGTTATAAAATCCATACACAATCAAAATCCCATATCTGAGTTTACAGATTTCAATCAGGCACTTTTTTTTTTTTTTTTTTTTTTGTAGAGATATGGCCTCACTCTGTTGCCCAGGATAAACAGGATGAGGGGCAGTGGTGTGATCCTGGCTCACTTTTTCCTTGAACTCCTGGACTCAAGCGATCGTCCCACCTCAGCCTCCCTAGCAGCTGGAACTACAGGTGCATGCCACCATACCAAGCTCATTTTTAAAAATGTTTTGTGGAGACAGAATCTAACTACATTGGTCAGGTTGGTTTTGAACACCTGGCCACAGGCTGTCTTCCCACCTTGGCCTCCCACAGAGCTGGGTTTACAGGTGTGGGCCACCACGCCTGATCCAGGCACATTTGTAAAAGGAGAATACTAACTACTTATTCAAAGTTGTATTATTCATGTGGAATCTTTATGGCAAGTACTTTATGCTATGTTTGAAATTGTACAAAGCTTACTGAGATGTTTGCAATGCTTTCATTCGATGAAATGATATGACTTGTATTGAGTGATTTTTATGGGGAAATTTCAAGTGACTTGTCAAATCTTCACATTTCAAATAAGAAAGACAATCTGCCTCCAAAAATTAACTGTCAAGAAGTGTCAACACACTAATGATAATGAGAGCAGTTAACAGCTGGGGCTTCAGAGTCAAGTTGGCTTACATCGTGACTTTCACTGTGGACCTATGCCTCTATACCTCAGTTTTCTCATGTAAATACATCTCCTTCACTGGTTTATTGTGAGGATTAAGTGACTTAATACATACAAAGTGCTTAGAACAGAGTTCAATCAATGTTAGCTAATATTATCATCATTCATCACTATTTTACATTTTTATAAAAGACTCAAAACCTAACTTCCCACCTCTTTCTTATCACAAAATATGCTATGTCATACAATCACAAAAATGTTGTACATTGCTGTGCTGAATTGCCGGCTTTTAATTTATTTTTTTCTTTCTTTTTTTTTTTTTTTTTGAGACAGTTTCACCCTGTCGCTGAGGCTGGAGTGCTGTGGTGCAATCTCAGGTGGCACATTGCAACCTCCACCTCCTGGGTGGAGCAATCAAGCAATTCTTCTGCCTCAGCCTCCTGAGTAGCCAGGACTATAAGCACGTGTCACCATGCTTGGCTAATTTTTGTATTTTTAGTATAGAAATACAAATTTCTTGGCTAATTTCACCATGTTGGCCAAGCTGGTCTGAAACTCCTGACCTCAGGTGATCTACTCACCTCAGCTTCCCAAAGCTGGGATTATAGGCATGAGCCACCATGTGCAACCACTGGCTTTTAATTTTAAGATGAACTGTTTTGTTCAAATTTATAAATTGTTTTGAACAATTAGAACAAAATTTTTTGTTCTAATCTATAAAAAAAATCAACTGGATTTTAATATTTATATTTTATATGACATCCTATTTTTCACTAAATTAAATTGCCAGTATATTTTTTAAATTACATTTATATTTTACATATATATATATATATGCACTGACCAATATGAATACATACTAAACAGTACATATATATACCAAAAAGTGTAACTCTTCACAGAACCACAATGCTTTAAAAGGAAAAAAAGACAATGAAAGTTGGACTAGGAACTAGCCCTAATACTGTTTTTTAAGTATCATATCTCATATTTTAATTTATAAAAGACATCTAAATAACATTTTTATAATTTACAAATAAACCAGATTATCTTAAATCTTATGCTAATGAGCTAAGTCTACTCAACCAGAACTCATGAAAGCATTAGAATCCACCATGGTTTGCCTGGGGTCATTTTGAAACTCCACTAATCTAGAAATGCGACAACAGAGTTTTCTGACTTTTCTTGGAAATAATTAAAATTGTTACTGTGGAAATTCTTTATTGTTTCTTATCTAAAAGACAGGTGACAATAGCAGATATAATGAAGAAAATAGCAGCTGAGCTTTTGGGATGCAGGGATTCCTAATAATTTTGCTTTCTTTTTTTTTTTTTTTTTTTTTCTTGATTTTTTTTTTTTTTTTTTTTTTTTTTTTTTTTTTCTTGAGACAGAGTTTTGCTCGTGTTGATCAGAATGGAGTGCAGTGGCACAATCTTGGCTCACTGCAACCTCCACCTCCCACGTTCAAGCGATTCTCCTGCCTCAGCCTCCCAGGTAGCTGGGATTACAGGCATGCACCACCACGCCTGGCTAATTTTGTATTTATAGTAGAGACGGGCTTTCGCCATGTTGGCCAGACTGGTTTCGAACTCCTGACCTCAGGTGATCCATCCACCTCAGCCTCCCAAAATGCTGGGATTACAGGCATAAGCCACCACGCCTGGCCTCTTTGTCATATTTATAAGAGTAGCCTTTCATTAAGTTCATTGGATAATGACCAAAAAAAAATGTTTATTTCTCCAGGAAGTAGTCCTTTGGCCTAATTTGCTTCCTACATCATTTATACTTACCAGGAATATAAACAGCTTATCAAAATGACACCCTCAGACTAAAAAAACATTGCTCCAAAGACATAAAGTCTAATCAACAAGTCCTCCAAAAGATATAAAAACTTAAACCTAAAGGAAAGGAGATCACCCATTCTATCTACATCAATACCATGTAAAGCAAAAAGAATTGCTTCCTCTTATATATATTGACTTCATTTTATCTTTTGTAAAAAACCTAGAAGATAGGTAGTTCATCTTTCACAGATTAGAAAATTGCATCTCAGAGAGGTCAAGTAATATGCCCAAAGTTACGACGTTAGTATGATAAAGACACAATACTTGAGTTGGTCACTTTCTGACTAACCAGTTAATGATAAGGAAGCCACTGCAGACATTTCTCTATGTTATAATCCTCTAGCACCAGTGTACAAGACCATGGGCACGAGAATGATAGAACCAAGGTCCTTCCAGTGTTCCCTCTCAGCTCCTTTCATACCCAGCACTGGAACCCAGTAAACTGGATTCAAGTTATTTTTGAACACAGTTTATAGCTCAAGAATGCAAACAGCTCCTTGAATCCAGGTCTGACCTCTAATTCATAGGTGAACCATTTCTACACTGTCTTCTGTGACTCAATTAACAAATGAACAAATATTTTCAGAAGGCCCAGAAATGTAATCATATCATAGATTGCCTTGTTTATAAGTACCAATATAAAATAGTGTGGAAGAAATAACAGACCACTGATAACTTTAGTACCTGCTCCTGGAATGCTCTTACTTTATAACATATTATTTCACTTATTTACACGATGATCATCCTTTACTAGTCTATAAGCTCTTGCTACAAAATTCTGCATATAACCCACACAGTATTAG